ACATATGCAAAATGCACCAAAAACACAACAGGAAGTGTTACTACTTGCAGGATCTTCGGGTAAGAAACTCTGCAAAAGACTAAAAAAAAAAATACGTAATGATGCCAAGCATACTAACAAATTGATTCTGAATTTACACTTTAAAGGAGACGTACACCCAAAGTGCTTTAGACTGTACTTCTGTAAATCACAGCAGAGGAGTTCATTCTGCTCTCCTGTGACAAATTTTTAGCTGACAGCGGTCTGGAGCCCGCTGTCGCCTGATGTCATTCAGCCAGTCCAGGCTGGGGAAAAATCCTGACTGTAAAGTTGGAATCTACCATAGAGTCTGGAGCGGCACCTGGCTCAGCCTCTCAGCGTGTCACTGAGAGCCTGAACTAGCTGCTCCCTCCTCATCCACAGCCTAGCGCTCCAGTGATCCCTGGAGGAGCAGAGCAGAGAGCGTTGACTGACAGTCAACGCTCTCTGCTCAGAGCGGCTGCAAGAACTCTGTGATCAGACCAATGCAGCATTCACCTAGGTAAGTATGATTTTTGAAAAAAAAAAAAAAATTCCCATATTTCTTTTTTAAGGCCTCCTGCCCCCGGTTGATGTCAGTAACTAAACATGATGCTGATACATTGTCTAATGAGCAGGTTAGAGGCAGAAAGGTGACACAGGAAGCTGCACATTGCTGAACCAGCATATATTTGCGTCCCCTGCAGTGTGCAAATTACAAGACTGATTTTACAGAATTACAAAGCCTTTAGCAGATAAAAATTATAATCTATATAACATATAGAGTATGTAAATCATCTATGCATTTTGCAGTTTTCTTGGATTTTAGCTTTAAATAATGCATTCTACATGACTTACCATTATTTTCTGATACTCGAACAGATAAGAAGGGAAAGGGTTCATAGCTCTTCCCATTTGCTTTGAGGTGCAGCTGAAAATATCCTTCATCTTCTTGGAGGACTGGGTCAATGACCAGAGAGCAGTTTCCACGCCTCAGAATATTCAGGAAAACATGGGCCCTGCTGTCAAAGTACTCCAGTATTTCTTGATTATAGACATGAACAAGGGGTTTCACAGGTCCACCTTTGAATGGGACCCTCATCCACTCCATTTCCATTTTGCCATCATAAGTTGTTGCATCAGTGTTGAAGCGGCATGGTATTAGCAGCCGCGAACCCCTTTGGGTTTTAATCTCCTTGGGGATTTTAGTGACGGAAATAACTTTCATAGCTGGAGAAAGAGAAAAAAAAAATATGTTAGACCTCAAGATAACAATGAAATAATTGTAGAGCACAGAATTAGTAAAAATGTCCATTAGTATTAAAAAGCAATATACTGCCACATTCAGAACAGCAGAAATGGCCATATACAAGCATACATACACAGTGGATATAAAAAGTCTACACACCCCTGTTTAAAGTCAGGTTTCTCTGATGTAAAAAAATTAGACAAAGATAAATCATTTCAGAACTTTTTCCACCTTTAATGTGACCTATAAATTGTACAACTCAATTGAAAGACAAACTGAAATCTATTAGGGGGGGAGTAAACATAAAAAAATAAAATAATGCAGTTGCATAAATGTGCAAACCTTCTTATAACTGGGGATGTAGCTGTGTTCAGAATTAAGCAATCACATTCAAAATCATGTTAAATAGGAGTCAGTACACACCTGCCATAATTTAAAGTGCCTCTGATTAACCCCAAACAAAGTTCAGCTGTTCTAGTAGGTCTTTCCTGACATTTTCTTAGTCGCATCCTACAGTAAAAGCCATGGTCCGCAGAGAGCTTCCAAAGCATCAGAGTGATCTCATTGTTAAAAGGTATCAATCAGGAGAAGAGTACAAAAGAATTTCCAAGGCATTAGATATACCATAGAACACAGTGAAGACAGTCATCATCAAGTGGAGAAAATATGGAGCAATAGTGACATTACCCAGAATTGGACATCCCTCCAAAATTGACGAAAAGACGAGAATAAAACTGGTATGGGAGGCTGCAAAGAGGCCTACAGCAATATTAAAGGAGCTGCAGGAATATCTGGCAAGTACTGGCTGTGTGGTACATGTGACAACAATCTCCCATAATCTTCATATGTTTGGGGTATGAGGTAGAGTGGCAAGACGGAAGCCTTTTCTTACGAAGAAAAACATCCAAGGCCGGCTAAATTTTTCAAAAACACATCTAAAGTCTCCCAAAAGCATGTGGGAAAATGTGTTATGGTCTGATCAAACCAAGGTTGAACTTTTTGACCATAATTCCAAAAGATATGTTTCAGCGTAAAAACAACACTGCACATCACCAAAAGAACACCATACCCACAGTGAAGCATGGTGGTGGCAGCATCATGCTTTGGGGCTGTTTTTCTTCAGCTGGAACTGGGGCCTTATGATGCCCTCCCAGAACTGAACAAGATCATTGTAGCCATCATTCAACTATAGCGTGGTTGGCAAGTGGTTAAGGGTGTGCACACTTATGCAACCATATTATTTTAGTTTTTTATTTTTACTTCCCTCCACCTAAAAGATTTCAGTTTGTTGTTCAATGGCGTTGTACAGTTTATAGGTTATATTAAAGGTGGAAAAATTTCTGAAAATGATTTTTCTTTGTTTCATGTTTGTACATCACAGAAACCTGCCATTTTAACAGGGATGTGTAGACTTTTTTTATATCCACTGTGTGTATATGTGTGTATATATACACAGTTGCAAGAAAAAGTATGTGAACCCCTTGGGATTACGTGGAGTTTTGCATGAATTGGGCATAAAATGTGCTCTGAACGTCATCTAAGTCACAACAATAGAAGAACACAGTCTGCTGAACATAATACTACACAAACATTAGATGTTGCCATGGTTTAATTGCACATAACATGTAAACATTCACAGTGCAGGGAGGAAAAAGTATGTGAGGCCCTAGCTTAATGACTTCTCTCAGAGCTAATTGGAGCCAGGAGTGAGCCAACCTTGACTCCAATCAGTGTGATGATATTGGATGTGTTGCTGACAGCTGTCCTGCCCTAAAAAAACACACACCTGTTTTGGGTTTACTGGTTTCAAGAAGCACTGTCTAATGTGAACCATGCCTCGCAGAAAAGAGCTCTCAGAAGACCTACGATCAAGAATTGTTGACTTGCATGGAGCTGGAAAGGGTTACAAAAGTATCTCCAAAAGCCTTGATGTTCATGTGTCCACGGTAAGACAGACTGTCTACAATGGAGAAAGTTTAGCACTGTTGCTACTCTCCCTAGGCTTGGTCATCCTGTAAAAATGACTGCAAGAGCACAGCGCAGAATGCTGTAATGAGGCAAAGAAGAATCCCAGAGTGTCAGCTAAAGACCTACAGAAATCTCTGGCACATGCTAACATTTTTGTTGACACATCTACAATAAGGAAAACATTAAACAAGAATGGAGTACATGGGAGGACACCACGGAGGAAGCCATTGCTGTCCAAAAAGAATATTGCAGCACGTTTGAAGTTTGCAAAAGAGCACCTGGATGTTCCACAGCACTACTGGCAAAATATACTGTGGACAGATGAAACCAAGATTGAGTTGTTTGGGAAGAACACACAACACTATGTGTGGAGAAAAAAAGGCACAGCACACCAACATCAAAACCTCATCCCCACTGTAAAACATGGAGGAGGGAGCATCATGGTTTGGGGCTGCTTTGCTGCCTCAGGGCCTGGACGGATTGTTGTCATTGATGGGAAAATGAATTCCAGAGTTTATCAAGACATTTTGCAGGAAAACATACAACCATCTGTCCGCCAACTGAAGCTCCGCAGAGGATGGGTGATGCAACAGGACAATGACCCAAAGCATACAAGTAATTCAACAAAACAATGGCTGCAACAGCACAGAATACGCCTTCTGGAGTGGCCCAGTCAGAGTCCTGACCTCAACCCGATTGAAATGCTGTGGCATGACCTTAAGAGAGCGATTCACACCAGACATCCCAAGAATATTGCTACACTGAAACAGTTTTGTGAAGAGGAGTGGTCCAAAATGACTCCAGATCGTTGTGCAGGTCTGATCTGCAACTACAGGAAACGTTTGGTTGAGGTTATTGCTGCCAAAGGAGGGTCAACCAGTATTGAGTCCAAAGGTTCACATACTTTTTCCTCCCTGCACTGTGAATGTTTACATGTTATGTGCAATTAAACCATGGCAACATCTAATGTTTGTGTAGTATTATGTTCAGCAGACTGTGTTATTCTATTGTTGTGACTTAGATGATGTTCAGAGCACATTTTATGCCCAATTCATGCAAAACTCCACGTAATCCCAAGGGGTTCACATACTTTTTCTTGCAACTGTATATACAAGCACACACACACACACACATACATATATACACACACATAAAAACCGCCATGCTCTTGTACCAAATTGTATTGAAACTGTAATGTCTACCTTCATTTTGGACAAACTGTTGGTGCTATATAAATCCTGTATAATAATAATAATAATCCACAAAAAACACATGTATTGCATATATGTGAACCAGGGCTAATATTGGGTGGAACATGTAACATGTTCACAACAGTGAACTTATCCTTTAACTGTTGCTAATGGCTACATTTTATTGTATGTATGATCACTATATATACAGTACATACCTGAAGAGGAGGGAAGAAAAAGAAAAATTCCTAAGATTAGGAAAAATCTCGGCATGTTAAAACTATTCATTTTGAAAAAGTACTCAATTAAAAAGTACAATTGCAAAGGCACTTGGATGAAAAAATCAATATTCAGCTCGTGAGCTCGCATCCACTCTCTTGCTTGTCTCAAGCTAAAATAACACTGACCTGCTGCGCTGTTGCCTTACTTTCCTGCAGCTCCGCTATGATGTCAACAGTCATGCAGCAAGGTCATGTGACCTAAGCCAGCTCTGTAAACAGGCAGACATTTTTAGAGGGCTGAAAATGAAAGAAAGAAGCTAACTGGTTGCCGTGAGAAACACACTATATTGTCTTTCTCGTTAGTTATAGTATATAGTATACAGCAGGGGTGGACTGACCATTTGGAAACTCTGGCACTGCCTGAGGGCCCGGGGTCAGTAGGGGGCCCCATGAGATGCCCCTGGTACCTTTTTCATAGGCTTTTTTGAGTTTGAGCAAGGACACAGGGGCTCCATGATCCCCTATTGCCCAGGGGCCCCATGAGTTGTCAGTCCACCCCTGGTATACAGTATATAGTATATCAGTATATAGCTGATGTAGTCAAGGGCCCCTGTTGATATTACAAAAGCTTCTGGCTTTATGAACTATTCATTCATTAAAGTGGAGCTCCACCCAAAAGGGGACGTTCCGCTTTAAAGACTGGTCCCACTCCCCATTAAGGACTGGCACCTTTGAGGAGCGTGGGGGGGGGAGTGTATACCTGAAACTGACACTTCACGTAGGCGATCTTAAGTGGAAGTTGTCCCCCTACCCTCCCTCCCTGTAGTCTTCTGGGACATGTGACAGGTCCCAGAAGACTACGGGGCCATTCAGGAAATGCAGCGCTACTCTCGCATGCGCAGTGGGTACCTGGCTGTGAAGCCGCAAGCTATCACAGCCGGGTGACCACACTGAAGATGCTGGCGCCTGGAACACCATACGGCTGGTGAAACGGGCTGCTGGGAGGACACCGCAGGATCGAGGGACAGGTAAGTGGCTGTTTTTTTAAAAGTCAGCAGCTACAGTTTTTGTAGCTGCTGACTTTTAGTTTTTTTCCAGTGTGGGTGGAACTCCGCTTTAACCACTTGCCTACCAGGCACTTACACTCCCTTCCTGCCGATACCAATTTTCAGCTTTCAGTGCTGCACCCATATGAAATTTTAATCATTTTTTTTTACACAAATAAGAGCTTTCTTTTGGTGGTATGCACTTGCTGCTGGGTTCTATTTTTTGCACTATAAACAAAAAAAGACCAAATATTTTGAAAAAAAATGTTTTTTTTTTTTTTTCTTTGTTTCTATTATACAATTTTACACACAGGTAATTTTTCTCCTTCACTGATGTGTGTTGATGAGGCTGCACTGATAGGCAGCACTGATGAGCACTGATAGGCAGCACGAACGGGCACTGATAGGTGGCACTGATAGGCGGCACTGATGAGCTGGCACTGATATGTAACAATGATGGGCACTGATAGGTGGCACTGATAGGCGGCACTGATGGGCGGCACTGATAGGCAGCACTGATAGGTGGCACTGATGAGCTGCAGTGTTTTTTCAGACACAATTCTTTATGAAAAATATACTTTTTTTTATTTGAATGCAAAAAATTACAGTACATAACCCATTGTTTTGTAAAAATATAAAAATATGTTGTTACACAGAGTAAATAGATATCAACCATGTCACGCTTTAAAATTATGCACACCTGTGCAGCGGTGACAAATGGCGTACATTTTACTATCCATAGGCGACGCTTTAAAAACCTTAAAAGATTACTACTTTAGATTTACAGAGAAGGTCTGGTACTAGAATTTCTGCCCATGATCTGATGTTTGCAGTGATACCTCACATGTGTGAAACAATTGCTGTTTGCATGCGTGCGGGACCGGTGTGTACGTTTGCCAAGCATGAGGGGACCAGGGCACTTAAATGTTTTTAGTGACAGCAAAAGGCCTGTGACAGGTACTCTTTATGGAGTGATCTGGGGTCAATAAGTCCCCAAATCCCTCCTTTGCCCTTAAAAGCATTAAATCACACCAAGATTGGTATAAATGAATGCGTTTATTTTTTTAAATGGCACCATTTATTTCTGTTGTTTGATGTCAGGTCACTGCTTCCTGTTTGCTATTTAACAAAACCAAACAAAGCGCTCCCGCCAACTAGTCGATTGGCTCTCCAGGTGGGACGGGATCTCCCTTTAACCACATGCCGCCTAGCCATTGTAGAAATACATTGGCAGGGCGGCACGGCTGGGCAAAACCACGTTTTAAAACGTGTGTTTTCAAAACAGGTAGGGGGCACCGCCCTACCTGTCCCGCCGATCACGGCCGCGGATGTCAGTCGCCGGGTCACAGCCGGTCATTACTGGCTGTGTCCCGGCGATTAGCGGCAATCACTGACAGAGAGCACAGCTGCAGTAGCTGTGCTTTCTGTCAGTTCCCTGACAGCTCCTGACAGGCTGATCGGGAGAGAAGAGTTTATCTCTCCAGATTAGCGTTTCCCTGTGCAGTACACACCCCGCCCCCTAGCAAAATACTCCCCTCACACAGTTAACCCTTTCACTGAATAATAAAGTTAACCCCTTCCTCCCCAGTGCCATTAGTACAGTGTTAGTGTTTGTGTCCGTTAAACTAGCGCAGTGCTGTATAGCAAAAAAATGGCGTAAATTGCAGTATCTATACTATAGTTTGTAGACGCTATAACTTTCACACAAAGCAATCAATATACACTTATTGGGATTTTTTTTACCAAAAACATGTAGCAGAATACATTTTGGCCTACATTTATAACTAACTTTGAGTTTACTATATATTATTTATAGCTGAAAGTAAAAAATGTAGTTTTTCTTCAAAAGTTTTGGTCTTTTTTTGTTTATAGCGTGAAAAAAATAAAAAGCGCACAGGTGATCAAATACCACTGAAAGAAAGCTCTATTTGTGTGAAAAAAAGGATGTAAATTTCGTTTGGGTGCAGCATTGCATGACCGCGCAATTATCAGTTGAATTAGTGCAGCGCCGAGTAGCAAAAAGAGGCCTGGTCATTAAGGGGGGTAAATCTTCAGGAGGGCAAGTGGTTAAAGCCATGTAAGGTGGTAGAAGGGGGACGTCCCCACCCACTGCTAGTAATAGCAATTGATTGGCTAGTCGCTTCGATTTCTACTACAAGAAACCCAACAGTCGGCACTAAAAAATGGTACCGGGATGATGCCTGCAAGCTGCATCATCGTCATGGTACAACCAAAGTCCAGTGATGTAACAGGCAAGTGGATATACAAGTCTCACAGAAATGTCCTGATAGAAATAAAAACATTTTTTATTTTTATGACTGGACTCTCTCACACAAGTCTTTTATTAACTTTCATTTCTGTTATATTTACTACCTTCATATAGGATGGGGATATTTACTGGGGGTCAGATCCAGAAATACCCACCCCTGACTCCAAGGAATATATGGGGGACACACTGCCCTAAGCATCAGCAGTGGATAAATGAAGCCAGTGTCATACAAATGGCAGGATCTTGTACTTCTCTCAGCACAGCTTTGGGAGTGGTGCTTAGGAAAACTGGAATCATGACAAGTCCTCTTTCCAGCCATTCATGCACTGAAAAATGACAAGGCCCGATGATCTAATCTTAGGAGCCTGAAATGACATTACTGGAGGCGTTCTATGCATCTGTATGTCTCCAAGTCTGGAGTCTCAGTGCAGACACACAGAAACACAATGAAGGGGAATTATGATAAATTGTCTTATCTCAGCTGGTGCTGTTGCCCATAGCAACCAATGAGCTTCTATCTTTCATTTTTTTTTTTCACATGCCTTAGTAAATAAACATTTAAAAGCTGATTGGCCCAGAAGGTATTAAAGTCAAGGAATCAGAATAACAGCCAAGCCACAAGTATGTCTAGCAATGGCAGCCCCTTTCTAAAAGTCTGACACTTTTTGATGGATTGATTTGGTTGCACAGTTTGCAGCGTTTTTTATTGCAGGGTTTGCTTTCATTATTTGTGACATCATAATCAGAAGGAAGTTTCCTACTGATTAGTTTATTTCTGAGGTTGGGGGGTTGAATATTTCTTTCAGAGTTCCATCCTCTGCTATGATGGGTTGTAAATCTTTGATTATTTTTCTTATCCCTTCTAGTGCTGGGTTGTATGTGGTTACTAGAGGTACACGGTTGTTTGTTTTTTTCTCCTTGTACTGAAGTAGATTTTCTCTTCCGGTTCTCAAGGCTGTGTTTATGCTGGTGTTGATAGTTTTGTCCTTGTAACCTTTCTTATGGAAGGAGTCTGCTAGTGTCCCAAGATGTGCATCTCTGTCTCTTGGGTCAGAACATATTTGGTGGTATCTAATAGCCTGACTGTGTATGATGGCACGTTTCGTGTGTTGGGGGTGGAAGCTGGAACTGTGGAGGTAGTTGCATCTGTCAGTGGGTTTCCTGTATATTGAGGTGTGAAGCGTATCATCCCTGATGTATACTGTGGTGTCTAGGAAGTTGACATGTGTTTAAGTATTCCATTTTTAGTTTGATTGATGGATGAAAAGTGTTCATCAATGAGTAAAATTGTTTTAGGTATTCTTCACCTTCTGTCCATATGATGAAAATATCATCGATATAGCGATAGTATCTGTATGGTTTTTGTTCCATGCTGTTCAGGAATTTTTCCTCCAGGTCAGCCATAAATAAATTGGCATATTGGGGTGCCATTTTACTTCCCATTTTACTTCCCATCACAGTACCTGAAGAAGGGGACACTCCCCGAAAGCTTGTCCTCAAAATTGTATGTTAGTGCAAATAAAAAAAGTATCACGTACAGTACTCAATTGTTTCTGTCGCAAATGCAGTAATACGGCTACAATCACCTCAAGCAAACTGGTTGTGTGGTTAACTGATTTATTTATTACAGGTATGTATATATAGCTCCATCAATGTACACAGTGCTTTACATATACAGGCGTACCTCGGTTTATGAATACCTCGGTTAACGTAATTTTTGTTTTACGAATAAAAATCCATTGAAAATAATGCCTCGGTTTACAAATTTTTTTTGCAATACGAACGGATTAATTGGCTTTCAATACATTTACGAATTTTTTTTTTAATCATGTCCCTGTACAGTACTAAGCATTTAAAGTGCACTTTATAAAGAGTTTTGAACAGATAAGACTTTTTTTTACTTTTTTTCTGACCTCTGAAACGGATTAATTGGTTTTCAATGCATTTACAAATTTTTTTTAATCATGTCCCTGTACAGTATTTATGCCTTTAAAGTGCACTTTATAAAAAGATTTGAACAGATAAAAGACTTTCTTTTTACTTTTTTTTCTTACCTCCGGAATGGATTAATTGGTTTTCAATGCATTCCTATGGAAAACCGCATGTCGGTTTATGAATTTTTCGCTATACGAAAAGTCCTGCAGAACGCATTAAATTTGTAGACCGAGGTATGTCTGTATATTGTACATTCACATCAGCCCCTAACCCTCAAGGAGCTTACAATCTAAGGTCCCCTAACTTACATACATACGCATATTAGGGCCAATATACCTACCAGCATGTCTTTGGAGTGTGGGAGGAAACCAGAGTACCCAGAGGAAACCCACACAGGCACAGGGAGAACATGCAAACTTCAGGCAGGTAGCACCATGGTTGGGATTAAAACAAATGACCCTAGTTCTGTTAGGTTGAAGTGCTAACCACTTAGCCACTGTGCTGCCCTTTCCCCCACAAAAGTCTACACAGAGCTGGAAGTCAAATTACAGCCATCCGTTGCAACCAGACTTTCATTTTTAGTGATATACTAAGTTCTTTGTAGTTAAGAGGATGCAGATGGTATTATTTATTTATTTATTTTACACTTACATTGCTCTGGAAGTAATAGCAAACAGAACAACAGTAGTGAGGTTAATATACATTTTTTTAAACTAAAAAGGTCCCAGTCTACAATAGTGTCATAAACGGAGTCCTTATAATATACAGTAGCTGGAGGGAGTTTCTCTGCAAAATTGTTTTTACTTGCACTTTGCATGTTGACCACTAGGATGTACTGCAGACCTGAGCAGAAATGCATGCTGGTCTCTTGATCAGTGCTGCATTTGAGTTGAGCAGCGACAGGCAAATTCCACGAAGCGGGTTTTTTTAATTAAACTTTGACATCACAAATTTGGATTTTGAACCTTGACTATGTATATACAGAGCTTGCTTTATATGCAGTTATGTGGCTGCGGCAGTAACAGATATTGATGTGACATACCCTCCCAGCACATAGAAATGTATGAGCAATAGGTGCACTTGCACATAAAGTGAACTTATTCTTTTTGCCCCTTTCCCCTGACATTAACACCCCCCCCAGGCCTCCACAGATGTACAGTCTACTTGGCCTAGGGTCGCACTATGAATCGCACAGAAATGTGCACTGCATTCCTGTGCAATTCACAGGCGATTCAATGCAGTGCAATTTGAGCCCAAGGGTGGACTGACCATTTGGAAACTCGGGCACTGCCTGAGGGCCCGGGGTCAGTAGGGGGCCCCATGAGATGCCCCTGGTACCTTTGTCATAGGGCTTTTTTGAGTTTGGGCAAGGACACAGGGGCCCCATGATCCCCTTCTGCCCGGGGGCCCCATGAGTTGTCAGTCCGCCCCTGTTTGAGCCTATTCATTTTTGGATTGTGGGCTTACCATACCACATTCTAGTGTGAAGTGGGGCTTACTGAGATTAGATGGCCAATGTAATTATTGTTTGTTTACATCCAGGAGTAATGGCTGCACCTGCACATTACAACCCCATAGACTTTTATGGCGCTAGACAACGCAGGAGGAGCCAGAAGAGGGAGCCTTTCACTTCTAGATGTAAACAAACAATGGTGACTTGGTTGTCTGATCTAATGCAGGCCATAGACGGGTCGTTTATTAGCCGAATTTTCATCCGCTTGAAAAATCATCCGATATTCACACCGTTAGTGGGGCCAGCCGTCGGCCGTTTTTCGTGGATCTTCACATTTATTTTTATCGGTCATGCTGGAAAATCCACGAAAAACAGCCATTTTTCATGGACATTGGTGGCAGCATCGGCAACAGGGCCGACCGATTTTTCGTTTATCAGCCGAAAATTCGGCCGATAAATGGCCTGTCTATGACCCGCCTAAGTAAGCATACATCTGTGGAGGGGTGGGGGGATGCTGAGGTCAGAAAAAAGGGGTGAAAAGAATAAGTGCACTTTGAAAGTGGCAATAATCTCAGACACTACTCCCAAATGGTTTCATCACATCTCTTTACCAACTCATCGCCATTTAGCCTTTTTTGTGGTCGGAGTTTCAATTCGGCTTCAATTCCAAAATGCTATTATAAATTGTTAAAAAGCAGATCAAGATGTTTACTTCTATTCCCAACAGAATGTCCCTGAATCAGTCTATATCAGGGGCGGACTGACCATTTTGAAACTCGGGCACTGCCCGAGGGCCCGGGGTCAGTAGGGGGCCCCATGAGATGCCCCTGGTACCTTTTTCATAGGCTTTTTTGAGTTTGGGCAAGGACACAGGGGCCCCATGATCCCCTATTGACCGGGGGCCCCATCAGTTCTCAGTCCGCCCCTGGTCTGTATAGTTTTATCTAATCTACAGCAGAACAAAGGTAGATGCAATAAAATGAATCTTTTATATATTAGATATAATATTAGTCCCAAATAATGGCGGCTTAGAGTCCAGAGTGCATAATGAAAACCGCTCATGGTTTATGACAGGCATATGACATACATTTTTGAATGAAGCACATAGTAGAGAAAATCATATTTGTTTTCTTTATACAGTATATCTAGAGTGAATGCAGTGATGTGGAAGGGGACATCCAGAGAAAGGTGACAACTTTTGTCATTTTGGCTTTGAAGCGATAAGATGACGGTGCTATTATTTATTGGTGTGTAATCTTTTTGTAAAATAGAACATTTTGATAATAAAATAAAGTAACCGCTTGAGCTTGACGGTTTACCCCTCCTTCATGACCAGGCCATATTTTGCTATTTAGCACTGCGCTACTTTAACGGGCAATTGCGCAGTCATGCAACACTGTACCCAAATTAAATTTATATCATTTACAGTCATGGCCGAAATTGTTGGCACCCTTGATATTTTTCCTGAAAATCAAGTATTTCACACAAAAAAGGTATTGCATTAACACATGTTTTGCTATACACATGTTTATTCCCTTTGTATGTATTGGAACAAATATAAAACAGAGGCAGAAAAGCAAATATGACATAATGTCACACAAAACCCCAAAAATGGGCTGGACAAAAGTATTGGCACCCTTAACTTAATATTTGGTTGCACACCCTTTGGAAAACATAACTGAAATCAGTCGCTTCCTATAACCATCAATAACTTCTGACACCTCTCACCCGGAATTTTGGACCACTCTTCCTTTGCAAACAGCTCCAGGTCTCTCTTATTGGAAGGACACCTTTTCCCAACAGCAATTTTAAGATCTCTCCACAGGTGTTCAATGGGATTTAGATCTGGGCTCATTGCTGGCCACTTCAGAACTCTCCAGCGCTTCTTTGCCATCCATTTCTGAGTGCTTTTTGACGTATGTTTGGGGTCATTGTCCTGCTGGAAGACCCAGGATCTTGGACGCAAACCCAGCTTTCTGACACTGGGCCCTACAGTGCGACCCAAAATCCTTTGGTAATCCTCAGATTTCATGATGCCTTGCACACAGTCAAGGCACCCAGTGCCAGAGGCAGCAAAACAACCCCAAAACATCATTGAACCTCCACCATATTTTACCGTAGGTACTGTGTTTTGTTCTTTGTAGGCCTCATTCCGTTTTCGGTAAACAGTAGAATGATGTGCTTTACCGAAAAGCTCTATCTTGGTCTCATCTGTCCACAAGACGTTTTCCCAGAAGGCTTTTGGCTTACTCAAGTACATTTTGGCAAACTGTAGTCTTGCTTTTTTATGTCTCTGTGTCAGCAGTGGGGTCCTCCTGGGTCTCCTGCCATAGCGTTTCATTTCATTTAAATGTCGACGGATAGTTCGCGCTGACACTGATGCTCCCTGAGCCTGCAGGACAGCTTGAATGTCTTTGGAACATGTTTGGGGCTGCTTATCCACCATCCGGACTATTCTGCGTTGCAATCTTTCATCAATTTTCCTCATCCGTCCACGACCAGGGAGATTAGCTACAGTGCCATGGGTTGCAAACTTCTTGATAATGTTGCGCACTGTGGACAAAGGCAAATCTAGTTCTCTGGAGATGGACTTGTAACCTTGAGATTGTTGATATTTTGCCACAATTTTGGTTCTCAGGTCCTCAGACAGTTCTCGTCTCCTCTTTCTGTTGTCCATGCTTAGTGTGGCACAGACAGACACACAATGCAAAGGTTAAGTGAACGTCTCTCCTTTTTATCTGCTTTCAGGTGTGATTTCTATATTGCCCACACCTGTTACTTGCCCCAGGTGAGTTTACAGGAGCATCACATGCTTGTAACATTCTTATTTATCCGCAGTTGTGAAAGGGTGCCAATACTTTTGTCCAGCCCATTTTTGGAGGTTTGTGTGACATTATGTCGAATTTGCTTTCTTTCCTCCCTTTTTTTGTTTTGTCCCAATACACACAAAGGGAATAAACATGTGTATAGCAAAACATGTGTTAATGCAATACGTTTCGTGAGAAATACATGATTTCCTGGAGAAATATCAAGGGTGCCAACAATTTCGGCCATGACTGTATATACTTTTTTTCACACAGATAGAACTTTCTTTTGGTGGTATTTGATCACCACTGGGTTTTTACTTTTTGCAATTAAATGAAAAAAAAAATTGAATAATAAAAAAAACCAAAAAATATTTTCTGCTATAAAACATATCCAATAGAAAATTTAAAACAAAATCGAATTTCTTCATAAATTTTGGGCAAAATGTATTCTGCTACGTCTTTGGTAAAAAAAAAAAAAAAATCCCAATACGTGTATATTGATTGGTTTGCTTGAAAGTTCTAGTGTCTACAAACTATGAAATATATAATGGGAATTTTTTTTTTAATACCACTAATGGCAGCAGTTAGCGAGAATGTGATCACCAGTGACATTAATACAGTGATCAGTGGCTAGCATCTCTGCCTAGCAGCACAAAGGTCATTGGTTCGAATCCCAAAGATGGCACCACCTACCTGGAGTTTGCATGTTCTCCCTGTGCCATGTGGGTTTCCTCCGGGTACTCCGGTTTCCTCCCACACTCCAAAGACATGCTGGTAGGTTAATTGGCTCCTGTTTAAACTGGCCCTAGTATGTGTATGTATGAATGTGAGTTTAGGGACCTTAGATTGTACGCTCCTTGAGGGCAGGGAATGATGTGACTGTACAATATACATGTAAAGCGCTGTGCTAGAACTGATTCACACATGTGCTGTGCGGATTGAAGCTCAGGTTTCACAGCTAATTGACAAAGTAGTTGTTCAGGTCAGGACTTTATACTGTTCACACATATGCAGTTTAGAAACAGTTCCCACAGTCAATAGTCTGTAATCCGCATCTGAACCAGACTGCACTGCTCAGAAATTGTACAGGACTCTTTTTCAATCCGCACTGGACAAATGTGAACAGGCACCATAGAAAGCAATATTATTTCAATGTCATGCGGGACTGGATGCGGTTCAAACCTAAGTGAGTTTATTTACCACCTTAATAAGCCACAGAACCTGTGTACACTAGTATGTGTTCGGTTTTTAAAGGGATGAGGTGGCAACCCTAGTCCAAAGTCACATCCCATGTTTCCCAATGAGTACCATTCATATCTGTGCGACTTCAAAGTTATCCCTGCACTATTTTAGTCTGACTTTCATGCAACTTGAGGGCCATAAACTTCAATGTACACCTCAAAGCCGCGCGCCTGAATTATATTCATGCAACTTTGTGGAGTTTCAAACAATAATCCTTGGTCAAAACCAAAGCTGCACTCATCCAAAGTCGCATCTAGTCGCACTGTAAAGTCACAATGAAAATTGCACAATTTTGAAGTTGCACAAGTGTGAATGGAGCCTTATTCACAACTTTCATTTTACAACATCAGAATTGTAATAACAATAACATTGTTCTTTTTGACAATCCAATATAAATTTACTTGAAAAATCTCTTTTCATGTTGTAAGTTCTGCCTGTCTGTTGGCCATCTCTTTGCACAATTATCTGGATTCCCTGCTTGCTCTGCAGCTTCTCCTCTTGTTTGCTTTCAATTTCTTAGGCCGCGTTTGTCAACCTTTTTACCATAGAGGAAGCCTTAAAATAACTTCCAGGTGTCCGGGAACCCCTGCAAAACCAATTCAATGTGAGAATAGAAACAAAGAAAAGTGACGGCAGAAAAGACTGAGTGGTCCATCGAGTCTGACCATTTTTATTTTTTTCTGGAAGGGGTGTTTTTGGGTTTTTTTTTTGGGGGGGGGGGTATTCATTTTTTTTTCTTTAACTTGTTTGTCTAGTAAAGATCTATGCTTTTCGTATCTTTTGTTATATCTTTTTGTAAACAAGGTCTCCAGAACTGGACACAGTATTTTAAATGAGGTCTAACTAAAGATCTATATAGGGAGATCAGGACCTCCATCCTTCTACATCCTAGAATTCTATTTGCTTTCCCCACTGCCTGGCCACACTGCTCATTTTGTCATCATCTGAAATAAGCACCCCCAAGTCCTTTTGCTGGCCAACACTGTACCCCCCCCCCCCCCCATTGTTGTATTCTCGCAAGAGATT